TGACAGGAAAGAGAGTGAAAGGAGAGGAAGAAGAGAGAAAAGGAAGACACAGACTGGTGAAATAATGTCTAGCAAGCTGACACCCACTCCCGCACACTCAACTAGAATGCACAGAATAAACAAAAGTGAAAACAGTAAAAAAAAAAAGAAAGGAAGAAAATAACAAGAAAGGAGAACTTAATCTGCTGAGGCTGTGGTAGGATAGAGAGAAGAGTTAGAACAAGAGGAGAAAAGAAGAAAAAGTTAAAGAAGAACACAAATAAAGGAAAAAAGGAAGGCGAGGGAGACAGAACTGACAAAATAGATAAAGAAATAGCTGACCGTGCTGTGCTGTGTGTAGCACTGTCTTAAGCGTCAGGCTGCCCACTGGGAGGACAGGGTTGCCCTAGGCAGAGTATAGGGGTCTGGGAACCAGCAGTGACACGTAAAGGGAATGAGAGGGAGAAGACAGAATCATATAAGCAGTGAGAGAAGCGAAGAGAACAAAGAAAGAAAGAGGAAAGAAAGAGAAAAGGAGAAGGTAGGGGAAAGAAAAAAACCCCACTGTGTTCACTAAGATTGTCTGTGATGGTCAAGAGGGAGGAGAGCGAGAAGGGGGAAATAAAGAATAAAGAGATCGCTGATCCCTGATTACTTGTATGTGGGGCCAAAGGGGTTTAGACCCTGCCTCACAATGGCAGGTTGGTGAGCTCTTTTGATGCAGGGACCCAGTTGTGCTGGGCAGTATTGCCCTAGTTGATGAGCTCATCAAAAGGTCCGATGGAGGTTTCCTCTGCACTGCAGCGTGGTGTAGATGTATGTCCCAGCTGCCTTGTGTGGTGTTCAGTCAGCATTTCCACGGAGGGCGGGCTGGAGATCCTCCTGCTATTTGGGTTGATTTGCCCTAAATGGAGGGTAGTGATTTGGAAGTCAGTAGTTGTTTATGATAGGAGAGAGTGGGAGAGGAGAGGAAAAAGAGGGAAAAAGAAGAAAGAGAAAAAAGAATCCCAGCTCGTTGTGACTGGCTGAGCTTGTTGAGACTGACTGCGGTGGGAAGGATAGAAATGCTAGTGAATGAAGAGGGAAGAAATAGAGTAGTAGGTAGGATGATAGCTGAGGCTTGATAACCTGTCTGTGAGGCTGGAGGAGTTCCAACTCTTCTAGGTAGCGGGGTGCTGTACCCGTTTTATGTAGGGGTGTACAGATGCTGTGTGGGATTACTTTCAAAGGCAAGATTACACCTGTGACCAGGCGTCCGTCCGTTGAGCTCTGGCTCTTACTGGTATGCTTGCCTTGTGCTGTATGTAGCACTGCAGCAAGGTGGGGGTGGGGGTGGGGGTTGTTCCCACAACCCGGTCTAGGGCCCCAGGGCCAGCAGGGCCTCCCCAGCTATGTGTAGAGTCACTGAAAGGGAAGCTGGGCTTGTTGTCCTATCTAGGCTGCTGGTGTCCTACTAGATCAGAGGCTTTTATTTTTATTTATTTATCTTTTATTCCCCTGGTCAGCTAGACTAAAATTAAACTAATTTGTCACACACAATCTCTAGTCTGCAGCTCCGTGCTGTTTAAAACTGAAGCTTGCTACTGCAGGTCTTTGTTTTGCAAAAAACCTCCAGGCCCTGTAGTTGGGTTCTGGAAATCCTCTGCTAGGTTAATTCATATGCTGATTTATGTTAAAGACCCCCACTTATGTGCTCTTTGCAGCTGAGAAAATAGACTGCGGTTTGAGTTATTAACCAATAATATATATTTCACCTTTTTTTTTTTTTTTGATGCTTGTGATGTTCTCTGATTTGGGGGCTGTCAGGCTGGTCCCCAGAGGGGGAGATCCAGCTTATCAGGGGGCTTGTTTCCTTCTCAGCCAATTGGAATTAACTCCGCTCCCTGGATTCTGCTTATTTTCTCCCACACCGCGATCTATTTTAAGTAATAATCTGCCTTTTCTTCTATTCTAAATTATGGCTACCTGCCACGGCCACTCCCCAGGCAGTGAGCTCAGGGCAGCCAACAGCACGGAGAGCTCCGGCGTGGGATTCTCCTGTGTCTGGGGGTGCTGTCCCCTTTAAGACGTCAGCCTGGAGAAACCATGGCTCCTGCAAGGGTGCAGCTGACGCGTGGGCTAGCCTAAGTAGAGCGCTTTAAAGCGTTCTTGGTTTGCTTTGTGAGTGGAAATCACACACAAAAAAGGGGTTCAGGAGAGAGCCTGGTATCCTGGTTCTAATTTCTGGACTCCCTCTCCGTTTCCTTCACCTTACCTCCCAATTTTCTGGTCTGGCAGCAGGAGCTCTGGACATGTGTGTCCTATCGGGTTGCCATTTTCTCCAGAACCGATCCTTTTGACTTTTAAGGTAATAAAAAAATGAGAAACAGTTAAAAAAACTATTGCACATTTCAAGCACTCTTTTTAAAAAAAAAGTCATTTTATTGGGGGCTTGTACAACTCTTACCACAATCCATACATCTATCCATCGTGTCAAGCACATTTGTACATACCTTTTTTTTTTAAAGCAATATTTTTACTACTTTTGTTATCTGGAATGTCTCCGGATATCCTAACAGCTTTTCTTTGTTTTTAATAACATTGATATTTTTGAAAAAAACATCTAGCCTTTCCCTTTTAAAATAGAATATTTTCTATTTGTGTTTGATGCATCTTTGTGATTCTATTGAAGTTGTGTGCTCATGGCTGGAATACTGGATAGGGCTTAGTGGGACAAAAGTAAAACCTCCAAACTCACTTTCATTGAGTTGAAGTCAATTCCTAGTGACCTTATAACTGCCCCTGTTTGTTTCTGAGACTGTAACTGAGAATGGGAGTAGAAAGCGCTTTCAGGATTCAGCAGAGCAGCTGGTAGTTTTGAACCGCAGACCTTGCAGTTAACAGCCCAAATCAACCACTATGCCACCTAGACTCCTTGATTGTAGCACATACATGATATTAACTTTGATCATTCTGACAGTGTTTTGTCTACATTCTCCACTCTGTTGCCTTCTCCACCCTCTTCTTTACCATTAATCACTGCCAATGAGTCGATACCAATTTATAGCTACTCTATAGGACATGGTAGAACTGTCCTATGCGTTTATGGAAGTTGAAAGCCTTGTCTTTCTCCCGTGGAACAGCTGGTGGTTTCTTTCTCGAACTGTGAAATTTCAGCCCATAGATTAACCACTACGCCACCACGGTGCCTAATAGTCTGTGGGAAACACTTTAAGGTACTGCAGACACACTGCTCCTCTTCAAAATCTCCCCTTTCATGGAGTATCCATTGATACTGAGTCAATCTTTATCATGATTACAAAATTATTTTGCAACTCCCCAAACTACCCCCATATGAACCAGCCTTTGCCATCCCTTTCCAAGTCTTTTCCTTTCTCTGTTATCGGTATGGACTTGAGTCGTGATACATTATAATGTATCACTAAATTATTTTGGTGCTTAATATGTTCAAGTAGTTAGAATGGTGGCAAATTGTTCTCTTTTGATCATTCCAAAGAAACTCTAGTGGTAATGATTGTACATCTCTTCTTGATATGATTGAACTATTAAATTGTGTGATATGTGGATTAAGTGCCTATAAAACTGTTTCAAAAAAAAAAACAAGGAAAAAAAACCCCAGTTGCTCATAGGCACATATATTGAGAAGGAACCAAATTTTGCTACCATCAAAAAGAAGCCAAAAAAAGTGAAGTTATGCTGAAAGTTTGCCGTGCTGTCAACCCTGAACATTCCATAGTAAAGATGCTGTTGTTGGAAAAGAAAAGGGACTGTAGAGCATATAATATGAGTCATTTGTAATTGTACCGAACTCAGTAGGGTTCTGTTCCATATGAGTTTAATGGGTGGCTTTGAGGCACTTTACTAGGTCTGAATGGCCCATACCTTTATTGTAGTTTCATTATTTGTCAGTGTTTCGTTGCTCAGTCTCTTGAAATTTGACAAAAATTTTCCAGAATCTTAAAAGAAAAAGTACTAGTGCTGGTAATAGAAATTAATCAGAAAACAGTTTTATATGAAGGTTGGAATGCCCAAATGAAGAATTCTGCTTATCTTTGCTGCAGATGATTTTGCTTTACATTTTGATGATAATAAATATATTTATAACTATCAATGAGTTTTTTATTCACAAACATTTTTATTTGCTAGGAAACTATAGTTTTAAAAGATAGTTTCAGTGGCAATATTTTGTTAGGAAATATAGACTCAGGAAAAATCATTTTGGGAGAAAACCGGAGTTTATGTAAAGAGCTTCAGCCATGCCACTGGACCAACACAAGTGGAACAGTTTTGCTTTTGATGATTTCTGTGGTTTTAGTAGAACATGCCAAAAAATATTCCCATGTATTTGATAATCTTAATCAGGCATGTTGAATATTTAGAGTAAGTTGTTGCTAAACAGCTTTTTTTCCCATTTCTGTTGCTTTAAAAAAATTTATTATTAATTGGGAGTTAATATTTGCCAAACAGTTTTTAATTACACAATGAAATGTGATCAGATTAGTTACTTTGTGAATAGCTAATATTTTTGAAATTTATTATCTGAACTTTCTAAAAGGGAAATTGTAAATGTTTATTCAATAAATATATATTGAACACCTGTTCTGAGTGGCATGGTTCTGGAGGTGCAGGGAACAAAAGAAGCATAATCTGTTCTCATTAAGCGTGTACTCTAAGAGAAGAAAGACAATAAAAATAGCTTGATACATAATGTCGGCATTGTGAAGAAAAATAAGGTAAGAGAATATACCGTGGCAAAGCTAGAGTAGGTGCAAGTGTTTCTTTCAACAGGGAGGCTCGGGTTGTATTTGCGCAGAGACCTGGATGAAATGGAGGAGCATGCCATGTGCGCCGCTCAGAGGAGAGCATTCCAAATGGAAGGCCCAGCAATGCGAAGAGCTGATCAAGAATCTACAGAGACTCCTATGTGATGGAGTACAAAGATCACTTTAAAGTTTACCATACTATGATTACATTCTTATTTACTAATTCTTCAACTTCTTTTGTCTTGATTTTTTTTTTAGGAAGATATTGATCCTCAAAAGGTTGCATTCCTTCTGCATAAACAATGGACTTTATATAGTTTAACTCCCTTATATAAATTCTCCTATACTAATCTCAAGGAATATTCTAGACTCCTAAGTGCCTTCATGATTGCTGAAAAGCAAAAAGGAATTGCTGTGGAAGTTGGAGAAGACTTTAATGTCAAAGTGGTTTTCTCTACCCTCCTAGGAGTGAAAGGAACGCAGAGGGACTCGGAAGCATTTCTTGTTCAGGTACTGTACGTAAGCAATACTGGCCTACTAGGGGGAGGGAATATGTACTCTCCTGATGTTGAAATTATTGTATTGTCTTACTGTTTTTAAATACCTAACCTTGATTTATAACTTACTTTGTTTCAACACATAGTATTCGAGATGGCTAATTATAAACCAGTTATTTTTGCCTGATAATAATAGTGGTTTTTTTTTGTGAATTGGTTGCATACATCAGTTTTTCATTCAACAATTTATGTATGTTTTGTTCCTTTTTTTTTTTTGCAAGGGCCAAGCCCCACTGAGGCCATAGTCAAAATTGTGGGCTTTATTAAGGAAGTTAGTAGGTTACAATTCAGGACGAGAAATTCTCAGTAGTTCTTCCTGCAGACAGGCTTCTCTCTGATCGTTGGGCGAAGCCACAGAGCTCTTCGAGTGCTGTCACTAAGTGGCCACAGGACACCCCACTCCACCATAAGGCTCAGCCTGAAGGCCCTCAGCTCTTGCTCCTTTGGTTGGCACACCTGCCTTCCCAGTTCAATACCTGGAGGCAGCGCATTTCTAACGTGACCGCTCTCAGCTTTACTTGCTCTGAGGCTTCCAGACCCATGGTTCTGGCTCTTGCTAAGTTTGTTGGTTCTGTTGCTGCCACTTCTCTGCAGCTTCTGGTGTCACAGCGTTCTGCCCCTGCATGGACCTGCTTCAGTGTGCAGGGATCTTGGAGTCTAAAGGACACTCCACTCTGGCTCTTCTTTCTTTTTTCGTTATTCCCTGCTTTCTTTTTTTTTTTTAAATCATTTTTTTGGGGGCTCGTACAACTCTTATCACAATCCATACATCCATCCATTGTGTCAAGCACATTTGTACCTTTGTTGCCATCATCCTTCTCAAAACATTTGCTTTCTACTTTCTACACTTGTTGTCATCATTCTCAAAACATTTGCTTTCTACATGAGCCCTTGGTATCAGCTTCTCATTTTTTACCCTCCCTCTTCCACCCTCCCTCATGAACCCTTGATAATTTATAAATTATTATTATTTTGTCATATCTGTAAAAAATTTTTAAAAAATAATTTTACTAGGGACTCATGCAACTCTTATCACAATCCATACATACATCAGTTGTGGAAAGCACATTTGTACATTCATTGCCCTCATCATTCCGTGCTCTTCTTTAATGGAAAAATTCTAGGAAGTTGGATTTGATGATTTTTATACTTATTTATATTGATTTTAAGATTCTTTTTCTGAATATTAATATCTGGTATGCGCTATTGACATCCCTTATATTACATTTTGGTTTCACTGAGATCTTGCCATTTATGGTGTCTTAATTGCATAACAATATTGAGAGCAGGATCAATTAATGTGATAAACTCTAATAATAATTAAGGAGACAATTCCCAGTGTAGTTTAAAAAAATTGTCAAATAATACAGAAACTTAAAAGTTAATGGACAGATTGTGAGATGTAATTTCAATAACACTTAAAGAACCTGCCTTTTTCCCCCTTTATAGATTTTGTCAAAGTCTCAACTGCCATCTGAGAACATGAAAGAGAAAGTGTTGTGGACGGGTTGGTTCTGCTGTATATTTGGAGATAGTCTTCTAGAGACGGTTACAGAGGAATTCACCTGTCTGCCGTTATTTCTTGCAAATGGAGCAGAGTCAAATACAACCATCATTGGAGACTGGTTTCAGAAAACTTTTGACTGTTGTTTCTGTCCCTTATCAATCAATGCGTTTAATCTTTCTTGGATGGCTGCTATGTGGACTGCATGCAAAATGGATGGTTACATGGCCACTACAGAGTTTCTTTGGGCTGTCCCCTGTAGCCCGCAAAGTCTCGATATTTCTTATGCCATACACCCAGAGGATGCAAAAGCTTTGTGGGACAGTGTGCACAAAACACCTGGAGAAGTCACACAAGAGGAAGTTGACTTATTCATGGACTGCCTTTATTCACATTTTTATAGACATTTCAAAATTCATTTGTCAGCCACAAGATTGGTTCGTGTTTCAACATCTGTAGCTTCAGCACATACTGATGGAAAAATAAAGGTTAGTTTGAACAATTATATCTAGTTAAGTATTCTTTTCATTGTTGTATAGTTTTCAAAATAGTGAATGTATTTCCACATTGAAGAAGCATTTACGTGTATCACTCTTTGAGACAATGGTGAGACTTTATGCTTTATGGATATAAAGCATGGTATACTTTTAATGGGAGAATACTGTTGTCTGTCCATATTACTATTATTATTTCATATATTTTTAATACTTTAAGCATTGTCTGAGGGATTTAAAAATAACTACCAGGGTAGCAGAGTTTTTTGTGTTAGATAAAATAATTATAGCCAGAAACACAGAACCAAGAAATTGTCTTCATAATTTAGGTTTTCTTGATCCAACTAGGAGAGAAGTAATTGACGTGGTTTTATCTTATACTAAATACTTCATAAGAAGGATCAGAAATAAATGAAGAGTTGGAACCTAAACTATGTTGAAAAGCTACAGCAAGCCCTCTGTGGCGTTCCGGTCTTGTTACTGTGTACTTGACATGCTTATTTCCAATCTTGGGAGTTCTGGTGGTGCGGTGGGTCCCATGGTGGGCTGCCAACCCCATGGTCAGCGATTCACAACCACCAGCTGCTCCAAGTGAGAGAGATCAGGCTTCTCCTCCCAGAGACCTTTTTGGCCTTAGAAACCCACAGGGACACTTGTACTTGTCCTCTGGGTTCACTGTGAGTTGACTAAGTGGATGGCAGTGGAGTGTTTCTCGTCTTTAGAGCAGCTGAATGGTTAACTGGATTTGCACACAAATAGCACATGCCTTCTATATTTGTTTGCCAGTCATTCCTTCCCCATGGAAGGTATTTTTGTAAATATGCTCTGCTCATTTTTATTTTAAACAGAGACATGTTTTAAAAATGGTGTAGCATTTATAAAAATACCTCCATGGGGAGGCAACTGTTGGCAATCCAAGTATATATTATTTTGCCTAAAAAATTCAGATAGGTGTTTTTATCCACATTTTTATTTCTATTGTTGTATAAGATCACACATTTGGCAATTCAGTGATGCTAAATATATCAATCATGTGCATTCATCATTGGTGGCCAAACAGTTTAGATTTTACATGAGGAAACTGAAGCCGAGAGGTTTCAGCGATGGACCCACAAGGTAGCCTACTAAGAGGGGTCAGGCTTGACTCTTGTTTCTTAGGTTCCAGAGTTTCTACACTCCGTCCATATTATAGTGCTGGTGGGTTTCAATTGCTGACCATGTGGTTAGGAGCCCAATGCCTAACTCACTGTGTCACCAGGGCTCCTGAGAAGTAGAATAGAAAACATAAAACGGTGAGTATTTTGCCTGTGATAAGGTCATGATATTAAATTTATTTCTTACTAGGGTTTACAGTAAGATATTTAAAGACTACAGTGATTTTTTTTTTTAACTACTTTGATAGAATTTTTAAGGGGAAAAATTCAGTTTTAGTGACTCAATGCAAAGTTCAAGAAATTCATACGTACTTTAAATTTTTGTTTCTGTATACCCAAACTTTTTATTGGTGTATTTCAAAACTTTCATATAATGTGTTATCCATCTAGGAGTGTAAATTTAGCACATATATTTGGTCTGTTCTAAATCTCAGGACCTCTCAGGGATATAAGACTATAACTGAGGCCCCTAAATTCAAGTACTGCCATAATGATCGTTAACATTTATTGAGCACCTACTTGTATTCTGAGTCCGAGCTGACTCAGCACCTAGCACCAACAACTTGTAGGCACTGTTAAGTACTTTATGCACATCCTATGTACCTCAGAGGGAAGTGAACCACAAAACAGGTAAGTAGCTTGAGATCACGTAGCTAATAAAAGGAGCCAGAATTTGAACCCAGTTGTCTGGCTCAAAAGCTGATACTTTTAACTGCAACATGGTACAGCATCCCTAAAAGTTTGAATTTAATGTATTAACCAGGTTTCTGCCAACTTCTTAGTTTCTGCAAGGTACTTATTGGAATCATAACTATCTGGAAATCAGGAAGAATGGACACTACCTGGAAAAGTTGCATACTCTGATTTTGTATGTTAGATCAAGGGTTCCTAGATACCCTTTCTTCTAGCCCGTGGACAGATGTCAGCTAATCCATAGAAGCTAAATAAATAAAAACTCTGATGTAATGATTTCTATAATAAAAATAATTATTGAATAATAAACAGTTATAGTATGTTGAAAGCAATTCCAACCAAACCAGAACCCACTGCCATTAACTTGATTCTGATTCATAATGACCCGGTAGGACAGGGTAGAACTGCCCCTGTGCATTTTCTTACAGGGTAAACCTGAATGGGAGCAGAATACTTCATCTTGTTCTCTGGGGAGCAGCTGGTTGACTTAGAACACAGGTTCCCAGACTTACTTGCTTACTGCCCCCTCTTCAGAAAAGAAATTGCTCAGCATCCCCCTAGCAATTGAAAATGTTGCTTCTTAGTAACCCAGGATAAACTAGGCTGTCCCAGCGCTTCCCGGGTGGGGGGTGGGGGGTGAGGTGTGTGTGTGGGGGGGCGGCAGTACAGCCCATTGTGGGACCCACTGGCTTGGAGCAACAGGGGTTTGCGTTCCTGTGTGGATCTTGCAGATATGAGACTTAAATAAGCCTGGAATATTTATTTACCTTTCCTTTGAAGGAGCCCTGGTGGGATCGTGGCTACACATTGGGTTGCAATCCTCATGGTTGGCAGTTATAAACCACCAGGAGCTCCGTAGGAGAAGAGTGGACTTTCTATTCCCGTAAACAGATACAGCCTCAGAAACCCACAGGGGATTGCTGTGAGTCAGCGTTGACTTGATGGCACTGAGTGTTTAGTTTGCCTTTGAGGCCTCGCGTGTTTTTATCCGCCTCCCCCTTAATTGTCACTTGGTGAGATTCAACTGCCACACTGGTATTGGAAACTTAGTCTTAGCAGATATTTGAAAAAAGTATTGCTTTTGGTTTAATTACCATGGGCTTAATGATTAAGTTCCAGCAGTTAGACTAATGTAACATGGACCATTCAAAGCAAACTGCTTTGTTATCAAAGTTAATTCTATTCCATTTTTTTTTTTGCAGATACGATGTCATAAATACCTCATTGGAGTGTTAGCGCATTTGACAGAATTGGCACTTCTTCAAATTGAGTGAGGCTGTGTGGACAGTACACTCATTCTCACTAATCGCTGTGCTGAGTGATGGGTATCGACGGCATCTCTTGGGAGTGGCTCCCAGAAGAACATAGGCGGTGGTAGTGCGTGGGCCAGGGTGTGAGTCCCGTCACTTTGATCTGGGATGTCAGCCTATGGAACACACCATGTTGCTTTTATGTTGCTCACGTCGTTCTCCCTCCCTCCCTTTCTCAAGAAATATGTTTATTATGCCAACCTTTTGGGGACCAAATGAGAGATCTCTAAAATTAGGTATTTCTGATTTGGGTCTTTAAAACCTGTAATTCCTGTTGGACCTTTTAGACTTGCATTTACAGTGTGTTTTAAAAGCTTAATTTTGCTGTAGAGAACTGGCAATCAGAATCTCCACCACAGGAAATGACAGATTACTATGTGACTTTTTTAGCCATTAACCTGATTGTTTTTAAACTGTTCGATTGTTACTGAAATGTTGAATTAAATATCCTTTTTAAATATGGTAGTGTTTGTCTTGATAACAGTATTTCAGTATTAGACATAGAAGCTCTAGTGGCACCATGGTTCCAGGTGCAGCGCAGTGGCTAACTATGAGGTTGGTGGTTTGAACCCAAGCAGCAGCCCTTCAGGAGAAAGGCCTGGCAATCTGCTTCCATAAAGATTAAAGCCTAGAAAGCCCCATGGGGGTATCTTGCTGCCACGGGTGGGGGGGTCACCGTAAGTAAGAATGAATTTGATGACATCTAACAATAATAATATATCCATTGGGTTGCTGAGTCATAATTAATATGATAAATGGAAAATGCCCCACCCCCCCCCAACAGTGGTCACAAACCAATAATAGAATTATAAAAATCGTAGTGTTGAAAGGTATCAGCGGGCTCCCGTTGAGGGTAGAAATGGTCTGCTTTAACCTTTGCATCTGATTGTTAGCATAGTGCCTGTCAAGCACTTGTCGAATAAGTGAATAAATGTTAACTAGTGCTTCCATTTCGCACAGGAAAACCGAAGTCAGCCAATGCCAGAGGCACGCGCAAAATGGAAGGTCTAAATCTTGTCTTTTTATTTACTGAACATAGAAATATTTTTTAAAATCTTATTTGAAAGAAAGTCATTTTAATATATTGTCATTTTGAAAGCAAAGATTAAATTTGGGCATTTCAGATATAGTAGGAGCAGCAGAGGTAATGGAAAGAGCATGGACATTAGAGCATTCATTTATTTAACTTATATCAAGCTCCTACTGTGATTAGAATTGCACTGGCTTAGATAGGACAGTGAAACGGAAAAGATCCTTGTCCCATGGAAGTTATATTCTAGTAGAAGAATGCGAAAGATAATGTTATTCAGTGATAAATGCTGTGAATCCAGGAGAGCAATATGAAAAAGGGTGGCTGAGATAGGGCCTACTTCACACATAGTCAGGAAGGTCTTTCTGACCAAGTGACATTTGAGTTCTTAGGAAGAGAGAACCAACCATGTAAAGATCTAATCTGCTTACTAATAAATAGATTAAACAGCAAAAGCAAAGGCCTTGAGCTAGGAAAGAGCTTATTTGAGGGACAAAGGGGATTGGTTTGGCTGGAACAGGGTAGTAAGCAGGGAGAAAAGTATGAGATGATTCTTCCATGGGGTTATAGCTACCAATTTTTGGCCAGACACCGTTGCTGCTCACAATAGACAACATAAGTATAGTCATGTGACTGCTTTGATCTGTGAGATGTAAACAGGAATGTCATGTAGAACGTGCAGAAACCTTCCTTTAAAAAGTAGCTGCCAGGAGTGCAACAGAGCAGCAAGGGGAGCAAAGCAACAAAGTCCCCCAGGAACCCTGAAAACAGACTTGGAGGGCAGGGCTTGGCACTTCATCAAACTCAATCGCTGAACATATAAGGGTCACCAGACAGACCTGGAACTATTTATAAACCCTCTTATTTTTTTCTTCCTCTTCTATTTTTTCATGTTTATCTATGATAGGCAAGATAAACAATCCCAAGGAGAAAAAATGGGACCAATGGTTCTGGGGGGACAGGGGTGAGGGGGAGGTGGGGGGAAGGGAGTGGGCAGCCAACAAACCCAGGGACAAGGGAACAAGAGATATAAAGTCGATGGCAAGGACGGCGTAGAATGCCTGGTGGGATTCGATCAAGGGCAATGTAGCTGACAGGAATTACTGAGAGCCGATATGAAAGTTGAACATGATGGTGCGGTGGTTCTCAACCTGTGGGTCGAGACCCCTTTGGGGGTTGAACAAGCTTTTCACAGGGGTCGCTTGATTCATAATAGTAGCAACATTACAGTTATGAAATAGCAACGAAAATAATTTTATGGTTGGGTGGGGTCACCACAACATGAACTGTATTAAAGGGTCACTGCATTAGGAAAGTTGAGAACCACTGTGATAATGGGATAGGACGAAAGTAAAAGGAAATAGAGGAAAGTACTAGGAGGCAAAAGACAGTGATATAAATATAGGCATGCACATAGGTAAATATAATAAATAATGACAGGAATATAGACCTATGTACATATATTTATGTCAAGTATTAAAAGACAGATGGGCATTGGGCCTCTACTCAAGTACTCCCTCAGCGCAAAAACACTGCTCTAATAACCTGTTGTTCTGTGATGTTCACCTTCCTGACACGATTGCTGAAGACAAAAGTGGGTGCATAAGAAAATGTGAAGAAAGCTGATAGGGTGCCTGGCTATCAATAGGTATAGCATCTGGGGTCTTAAAGGCTTGTAGTCTTGCTATTACAAATATTGTTATAATAAAACAGCCTTGTGTGTGCTTCATTTTGTATTTTTGCCAGTGAACCATTGTTGATAAAATAATGGAGGGATTGCTAGCCAAAGGATAAATGCACACAATTTTGCTAGATATTGGTAATTTTATAGGAACTGTACCATTTGTCTTAATAACTTCACCAAGTTCTATTCGTACTACAGTTCATTCTGCCTTAGTGAAGAAACTTTGTAAGTTACAAAGTGGGTCATATTTATCCTCCTGCTTAAAACCTTGTGGTGGTGACACTTTAAGATCAAATATTTTCATAGTCCCCAGGACTTAGATGATCTGGATTCAGCATCTATCACTTAGGATTAAATGCCCCGTGGGCAGTTTTACCCTGTCCTATCGGGTCACTCTAAGTTGGAATCAACTTGATGGCAGCAAGCTTGATTTTATGGTCCTAGTTGCACAGTGAATTACAAAATTAACCACACACACAGAAAAGGATTAAGGAAACAATATATTAGGTGGCTCTAAAAAGTTGAAGGAAAAATGGGAAAAAAAGATAGTTGAAACTTTGCATGAACTTTTTGAAGTCCCCTTATCTACTGTCACGGAGTGATCTAGCTGTATCATTTTTCTTGTGGAAATATATACTCCAAGATATCAGCCAGCATAACCACCATGTACACAATTCATGGATAATGGACTATTTCAGCATCTCTCCACAATATAGTTACACGAAAAGAACAAAGTTAAGACAATGTATAATATGCTTCCTTTTGTGTGAGGAAGTAGAGAAGCATGAGCATATGTATGTATATGTTATGTTTAAAAAAACATGAATGGTGGAGGGAGGGTTGGGTGGAAAAGGGGAACTGATTACAAGGATCTGGGGGATGGACAACAGAAAAGTGGGTGAAGGGAGACGCTGGACACTAAGATATGACAATAATAATTTATAAATTATCAAGGGCTCATGAGGGAGGGGGAACCGGGAGGGAGGGGAAAAATGACCTGATTCCAAGGGCTTAAGTGGAGAGCAAATGTCTTAAAAATGATGAGGGTAATGAATGTACAATTGTGTTTTATACAATTGATGTATGGATTGTGATAAAAGAGTTGTATAAGCCCCTAATAAAATGATTTTTAAAAAAATAAATGAAAAAAACATGAATGATAAACTTATAAAAGTGGTTCTTTGTAGGGATGGCAAGACAGAATAGAGAGGGCAGAAATGGGAATTAGCCTGGTTGGAATGTTCCTTATTTAGAGTTTGGAACCATGTAAATATGTAAAAGTGTTTTGTTTAGTGAAACAAAATTAGATGTAAAAGGAAAATAAAAATGAAAGCAAATAAACCTAAATATGTTAGGTTCACAGATCCCTGGTGCTGTACTGGTTATGCACTGGGCTGTGATCAGCATGGTTGGCAGTTCGAAACCACCAGCAGCTCCGAGAAGGACTGGGCTTTCTAATCCTGCTAACAGTTACAGTCTCGAAAACCCAGAGGATTGCTATGAGTCAACATTGCCAATGATGGCAGTGAGTTGTTTTTTTTTAAGTGAGATGTTAGGTTCATGGCACAATCACATAAATAGTTATTTTTAGTATTTTAAAATTATAATACTGTAGTACTCAGTGGGCTATAAAAAGCATTAGCCAAAAGCATTTTTTATGGTAAATACTACCTTTATTTTAAAAAGTTATACATGCTAGAAAAAGCATAAATGATACATGTAAACAACTGTTTACCAAATACTCCTTTTCTTTGTAAAGGTGCAAATGATTTTTTTAATGTAAACACAAAAGTTGCCAAACATTTGGGTGTGAGGGGTCAGGGAAGAGAAGGTTAATCCTTTTGGTTGTGATTAATTTTATTCAAACATTTTCCTGCAAAATACATGGAAGAGAATTGGTCTATGAACACAATGAACAAAACAAAGCTTTTAACTACGATTTTTTTCATAAAATCTTAAACTTTTCACCAGAAAGTGCAATTTGAGAGCAGTAGCAATAGCCTTGTAGAATTAAGATGATACAGTTTGTATAAAAAAAACCCAAGATAGTATGAATGCCTCAGTCGGTTTATATGCATAGTCTGAACTGAAGACTTCATAATGGCCGTTGGAGGCCGTCATTAAAGGTAAGCTTCGGCTTCACCAGGCCTGAGCATCAAGTGTGAAGACTTGTAGAACAGTATTCACTGATGGGAGAGCACGGTTCTCCATGCTGGTCCTTGGTTGCAATGTGGAAATAGGAAGGAGAGTGGCTTTAGTTGGTAATGCTTCTGAACACAAACTCTTGCAGAGCTGCAAATGGTTTTTTGGGGGGCGATTCTCCAGACAGCATGTTTTTTTTTTTTTTTTTTTTAAGAGGCACTGAGCACAGCCCTAGATTTAGCAGAAACTCTGAGAATATTCTGAAAAACAGACTTTAAATAGAGCAGAAAACATTAAGGTTCATAAAATCAGCGGAAACAAAACTTAACTTCCACTGATAAAAACCGTGTCCTGATGTAGTATTTCTTTTGACTTGCGTGCCTGAATATGAGATGGTTCCTTTAAAAAAAAAAAGATTTCTAAGTCTTCTGGTGTTTTAAGTGCAAGAGTGATGTCTACCTAAAACATCTTACATATCTACAATTGTTGTTGGCAATCCTTCTAAGTCGTGGAGTCTTATGGGTGGAGTGCCTAGAAATAACAATCCTAGCTCATACATTGCCTTCCCTTATCAGTATTTTCATATGTAACCAATACCTTAAAAAGTAGGATTGCCTGCTTGGAATTTTATTCTTCGTTTGCTTTCCTCCCTTTTTTGGTGGGAGAAAGGATAAGTACAAAAAATACATGATAAATTAAAACAAAAAATAAATATTCTTCTCCAGGGATGAAAACAATTGTGCAAAGGTGGCATCTTGAAGGTGAAGTACTTTCATTGTACATCGATGTCCATAGTTTGAGGCACCAGCAAAGAATAAAATTTGTTGTAATGTTTTCTTGAGTTGTACAAAGTTCCAAAGCTCTCCAGAACACGAGAAGCAGATACAGGACTGTCTTCTAGATGTTTACCATATATGAGACTCACAATGTGTCATTTTAATAACTCCTACACCACCCCCTAGTCGACGATAATTCATCCCGCCATATAGCCTGCAAAGAAAAAACAAATCAGGTTTTCTCTTGGAAAAAAGTACCATTTCTCCCACTGAGAGTTCATCAAACACTTGCTGTTATGTTATATATCACAACCGATAGTTCAAAAGCATGCATTCCTTTTAAAGATTAGATGCTAGAATTGAACACTCAAGTACTGCAGAATTTCAGACACTGACTGAACTGCCCTCACAGGAGGCTGTGTGAACAAGAGGAAACATCATCTCTCCTTTTTGGAACTTGACTGGCTTCTAACAATTACACATAATCACATGTTCTGTGTTTCTGTATCTAATTTTGTCCTGGGATATATTATTTTTCCATCCACATTTCCCCTTTGCTTAAATTTCCCCAATTAAGGGAACCGATTACAAGGGACTATATGTGACCTCCTCCCTGAGGGACGGACAACAGAAAAGTGGGTGAGGGGAGACGTCGGACAGGGCAAGATATGACAAAATAACAATTTATAAACTATTAAGGGCTCATGAGGGAGGGGGGAGCGGGAGGGCAGGGAAAAATGAGGACCTAGTGTCGGTTTAAGTGCAGAGAAAATGTTTTGAGAATGAAGTACAAATGCGCTTTACACAATTGATGTATGTATGGATTGTGATAAGAGTTGTATGAGCCCCTAATAAAATGTTTAAAAAAAAAAATTCCCCAATTATTATTCTTATTTTGTCTTCTATCAAATGTGAGGTAAATGCCTTTAAATTTGGAATATGTAATTGTAAAAACTTACATAGTATTTGCTCAACAGCTAATCTTCAAGAATTTGATGAATACTGAAAATCATTGTGGACTCATAGCAAGCCTCTGGGACAGAGTAGCACTGTCCCCGCAGGGGTCCCAAGGCTGTAATCTCTATGGCAATGACAGACATGTTTCTCCTCTGGAGCAACTGGTAGGCTCAAGCTGCTTGGCAGTCAAGCACGTAGCCCTGTGCCCCTAGGGCTCCTTTCAGGAGTATTTTTCATGAAATTCATGATGATAAGCTGTTAAGAGATTACTTGGTCATATATTTAACTTTAGTAATACTAAGAACGAAATCCTTATATATAGGATCATATTGACTAAGTGGCAGAACTAAATTTGACATACTTCCCAAATTATGCTTGCATAAAATACTAAAAAATTTTAAGTGGTGGGACCCCCCCAACCCCCAACCCCCAACCAAAATAAGAGGCTCCTATTCTTGAAAGCATTCCAATGAGGCCTTCTTGGCCATCCTGAAAAATGACTTGTCTCCTCAACCACCCAGCACTGCCACCCGCTGCTACGGTGCTGTGGGTGTAGTACCTCAGTACACTGTCAGCTCCAGGAAGGCAGGGACTTTGCTAACTTTGGTATTCCTAGACCCCGTAGTACTCAGTGAATCCTTTTTTCTTCTCAGTAAATCTTTACTGAGTGAACAGGATTATGAAAATGTGATGTAGAAGCAAAAAGTAATTGACTGTCATCAGCCTGACTTTAGTATTGTGACCACTGAGCCAACAACCATGAGTTAGACATATGCAGGATCCACACAAAGGATGCCACACAAACATCTCTTGAAGAGTTGTGGCCTTCCCAGAGAGGAATACTAGGCAAATTCAAGACTTGAATCTAATTGGGTGGTTAAACAACCTAGGTGGGTAGTTGCAGACTCAAAATGAGGAACCGTGTAATACAAATACAGCAGGAGTGGGCCCTCCCACCCCTCTTTGGAAATAGGGACACTAACATACAGCTCAGCTCACCCTATGGCCCTAAGAAAAATCTCCCAGCATGTCTCTGAGATCACCCAGATGGTGATCTGAAATTTGCTTAAAGCTTGCTGTGAAGGAAGCCCCAAATTGCTTAGGAAGGCAAAACTTTTCTTAAAAGGTATTTAGAATTACATCTAAAGATGAAGTATGTCAAACTTAAAAAAGGACTTATATTTTGCATTACATTTGAGAATTAACTATATATTTAGCATTGTAAGTTCTGATGGTGTGTACGAAAATCTGGCATCTTACAGCTTCTGTTAAGTCTCTTGAGACCAGCACAAAATATGTGCTTGAGTAAAGACTGAGTTGAGTTCAAATATGGAAGAGTTCTGTTTGTATACGTTTTTGAGTGTTTAAATGTAAGTCTGAAGTCCTTACATAGTACGTCATTCAGGTCTGCTATAAGTCCATCTTAGCCCCCTATTCTTGCCTTACTTTTTGGAGTATTTATGTGAATTGCTAAATAAATATCACAAGGGTTTATTATGCAATTAAGATATTAAAAATGAAGTAAAATTTAACCTATAAATGTAAACTGGTCACCCCTACAAGTGACTGTTCAAATCGACTAGGTCTTAAAATGAAGCAAAATATTATTAAAACAAAACAAGCAATGCAATTTGCTTCTCTTGGATATAAAGCTGCTCACAAATGTCACCAAAAGAAGAAGAAAACAAACAAAAGGAACTGAAATTGGGAGCCACGGGGGTAGGTTCTAATTCTGTCACTAACTTGCTTGGGCAACAAGTCATTTTATTTCTCCCGTGCCTTAGTTTCCTCAGTCGAACATGCAGGGGCTAGAGAGGAGGTGTTTTTCTTTCTTCAGGCTCCAATTATAAAAATGGAGAGCTACTAAAGATAATTTTATAAGATGATGTCAGACACGTTCTAACAATCAAGTCAAAGTGAGCTATTAAACATGAATAACTTAAAGCCCTCTCCAAAGTTTTTTTTTGCAAAAAGAGGCTATTTCAAGCACAATTTTCAAGTCAGAAGCTTTGTGATGGGCAACGCAGCTTAAAGGTTACCTCCATGTATTGGCATCAGGATCAAAAACTTCAATGGTCTTCAAATACGTTGTCCCATCAAAACCTCCTACTGCCATGAGCTGTCCATTCACCACGGCCAGGCCAACCTATCGGACCAAACAGAGCGGCTGCTAGAGACACTAAACCATTGCTGGGAAATCTGGACTGGTCTGAAGACGAGCCCCTTTCTCCAAACTCCAAACTCACTGCCACTGAGTGGTCCAACTTATTGTGACCCTGCACGACAGGGTCGAACTGCCAACCTTGTAGTGAGCAGCCCAACTCCTGAAGTCTCTCTAACAAAAGATAAAACGTCATGGCTTTAGAGTCTGGTTCACTTGAACACAAAGGAAAAAAGTAATGACAAAAATCGATTAAACCATGGGAACTATAAAATTATATATTCATCTTAGGACATTTAGGGTCCAAAACAGGTATTTCTTAAATTTTATGAAAACCATTCACTGGGAGCACGCCCGAACCTCTAAACTACTCTCACTTCGTCTGGTATATGTGTGCTGTAACCAACTCTAAATCTCTATCAATACTCTCTAAAATAACAATGCCTTTGTAGCCTCCTGATGCCTAAGGATTAAGTCTGCAGTCCTTATTTACTACGTCATTCAGGCCGCCTAGAAATCTATTCCAGCCCACTGTTCCTGCCTCACTTCCTGCGCTTTCCCTTCCTCCTAATACACTGCTGTGCTAACACTGCAGTGATTCCTAGGCCCTGAAAGGGCAAGCAATTGTCACACTTCCATTATCTTTGCCTAGGTCCCTGGGGGAGGTTACAATGATTTCCACTTGACTACTAACTAAAAGGCTGGCTGTTTGAACCTACCCAGTGGCACCTGGGAAGATAGGCCTGGCTGTATGCTTCCCAAAGGACACAACCTTCAAAAACCTGTCGGCAGTTCTACTCTGCACACATGGGGCTGCCTTGAGTTGGAATATGCTAAAGACAACCCACCTCGTTGCACCAGGTAAGACAGTTGAAAAATAAAACAATGGGCATTAAGATCAGAATTCTCCTTCCAGAGCCCTCTTTGGTACTCGGTTTTCAAACTCCGGCCGGAGGAGGCACACTCACTCCACTACGGCGGGATGTCATAGCCACCACTGGAGACCACTGGTTGGTTCTGGGGTTGTATCTCTCCGCGCTGCTAAGCTCTGTCGTGTCATCTCGACCTCCGACGGCATAGATCATGTCCTGATACACAGCACAGCCTAAGTGTTTCCTCCGGGTCCCCATAGGGGCTATGGTGTGCCATCTGTTTTCCTGAGGGTTGTAGCGCTCCACTGTCAGGGAAAGAAAACCCAGTAAGTGGCCATTCAACCATCTCTCTTCAGCTTTCGGTTCCTCAAAGCCTCAAACTTTGTGGTAACACAGATTCTTGCTTCTGAGAAGAGCTTGTATAACGTTGTACAATATTATAAACACATAGGTTTAAGGTCCCC